TCTCTATCTATCTATCTCTCTTAAACTGCAGTCTAGACAATATTCTGCTTTGCCCTGCCATTTTTTCGATTTTGTAATTAACCACCACCTTCCACGAGCATTTTAGGTTTGTGATGAATATTTCTAAGATTATTTGCACCTATTTTTCTCTTTTTTTTATATTTGAGAGAATCTCTGTAATTCACCCTATTTAATTTTAAATGTTCAGGGGACTGATAGTTGCATTTTTCCACAATCGTTTGAATAGACCTCACGTTTCCATCGGATTTCATATAACCTAGTCGATTGTGTAGCAAATGCAACTTTCCTTCATCAGTAATCCTACTACAGAATGTGAAATGAGAAAATTTCTGTCCTCCCTTAAAATTCATATATGCCCTGTGACCCAAGGGCACTCGTGGCACTGCATGCTACACTGTCATGATTCGAGTCCCGGTTGGGGTGTTGATGACGAGGTCAAACATTCAATCCAACCTGAATAGTATACCTTTTGACAAAACAAGGTCATTTGAAATCCAATAGTATATTGATACTATTTTGAGAAGATTCACCTTAATTGAAATAGAATGAATAGATCCAATATATATTATTTTTTGGTAGTCATGAGAACCAACCTATAAGCGTAATACAATTCCCGTTGTTTGCTATTATGGTTTAGCATTTATTTCTGCATTTATCACATTTTAATTTACTTTTCTAAATCCCTCTTTTAACATTTCATCAGAACAGTTGAATAAATCCAGTTATTCACCTAATGCTTTTCTCCCACAGTCGACCTTTTGCTCTTTATCTTCCAAATAACTCTCTCGTTTCAGGTATTGGACCAAATTATGCATAGCTTTGCTTCACTCTGTCCTTACTTTCCCACTGTTAGGGTCGTCACGGTCTCGGGTCGCTGTATTTGTTTGCTGCTGGCAACGGAGGCTTTAAGAAGGACTCTTGTGGTGCCGACGGCTTCGTAAACAATCCTTTTGTGATCGCAGTCACTGCGCTCGACGAAGAGGGCACTCAGCCTCCATTTACCGAAACATGTTCGGCCGTCCGTGTCTCCATTCCAAACACAAGCGGTCGCTTTTTACTCTCCGGCAAGCCTAGCCTTGTGAGTTCGCCCGATTCTCTCTTTAATTGTCTTCTTTATAAATCGCCAACTAGTCAGCATATCGCTTCACTCATCTCATTTCATGCACACAACAGCAGAATCTTCACTTCTACCAAATATTCATTCTTTAAATTGGCAGATTGACTCTGGAAACCGGACCGGATTATTGGGTTTTATTGTTTCGCACGCGTCTCACTGACAAATCGTCTTTCATTTTTGACCTTTACTAGAAAAGAGTTACAATGGGTTAGCATTATTTTGTCTAAAAGTTCAACTATTCTGTGAAAATTTGTGTTAATTTTATTCGCTTTTTTATTGTTTACCAGCTGAGCCTTCTGGTAAAGCCGATCAAATCAGTGATCTGAATGCATTTCAGGCTCACTGTCAGCAAATTTCTATTTTATCTGACCTAATCGCGCCGCTTGTTCGGTCTTTTAATTGTATTTAGGCATAAAATTATGCATCTTGAACCACAACGCCACATATGCATGTTGGCTTATCAACAAACATGTACCCACTTTGAGGCATATCACTGTCCTTCCTATATTCTATACTCGAATTTTTATATAAATTTTAGCCATTCACTTTATTTCCAGCATATGAGGCGCAACATACAAATGGCACTTCTTGAGCATAAGTCTCAGTGGTTCTTCTTGACCCGTATCAACCTCGATGGATGTCAAGCAAGCACTGATAAGCCTTTCGTCCCACTCTGGAGACCCTATTTCTTTCTTTCCCAACCAGATGCAAACCTCAAAAGAATTATCGCCACTCATAATAGGCTTTAAAAACCGTAATTAAAGGGAATTTCACGTCACAGCATTGAATATTTCTGTTCAAATAAGTTCATTCGTCTACCACATTTGCTTTTGGCTAAAGTGTGAAATATGCGAAGAAAAGTTGGGTTTTGAAGAATCCATTGTTTCATAATTGTGACAGACTTTTTTAAAGTCTCTATTCATTTTTTATTATTGTACCAGGATACATTGAAATAAAAATCATTTTAGAACATATTACTTGCCAGATATGAATACCAGGACATTTGGCTCTTAGACTTGATTTCATTTTTCTCCAGCGGTATAGTGTTGGTGTGCCCTCGTCATCGCAACTATGTCCGAGACAAAGGGATAACTTGTGAAATGTACGTAATACTGTTTCTTCGGCCTTGATATACTTATTTTTAGAATTTAAATACAGTTTCGTGACTACCAGTATATCAGTAGTATGAGATATAATCACCCTATTTCGTTCAAGGTGATGAAGGACTGGTGGTAGAATTTTCCCAGAATCATATGAGTGTTATGGGGGTGTTGATAAGACCGATGCGAGGTCGAACAACTTTTGGGAATGCAAGGCTTCACTCATTTCATTGTGGGAAAATTCTACTACCAGTCCTTCATCATCCTAAACGAAAGTGTGTGAATCCGTCGTGATATACTTGATCATTTCCAGCATCGGACCGATGACTTTGTGTATTTCCAGACTTTTTCCCAGCACTCCAGTTGACAATTTCAGAGAGAGTCAACACTATTTTCTAAGAGCTTGCCTCAATTTGTCACTTTTACGAGCTGTTAATCTTCGGAAAGATTAGCGTCTTTCATTAAGGATGCCTACGAAGCATCTGGAAATGTACCAATCCGACGGTTCTATGCTGGAGATGAGCATAACTCGAATTGTGCGGTTAGGTTATTTTACGTACCAACGGCATTGCCACTTATTTGATGAATTCCATTTTATTGTCGGCCTTATCTTCAAAAATCGGCCTTCAACCCCATTTGCAGGCGGGAAAATGGGCCCCGATGGGCGAAATTGTCACTTTTTGTAAACTTGTTAATATTAGCCTCCCATTACAGCTCGTCAAAAAGACCCGTCCGTTTGTTCTGTGGGGCTAACAACGGCAAGGCTACGATGCCTGTGAAACGTATGGGAATTTTGCTTTTCGCCTTATCCAAAACGGGGTCATATTTTAGATTTTCACATGAATGTTTGCAAAATTCGTTTTCTGAGATTTTTAGTCGGTTATGTATCGCATTATAAGAATATGTGAGCCTTTCCAGTTCCGATTCTTTCTCAGCTTATAAAACAATAATCACTGATTAAAGATATGAAGACCAAGATGTTGTGGCCTCTGGTATGGTCGCATCCGAGTCGGATCAGCTGATCGAAAGAGAGGGGGTCGGAGTGAATGACAAATGTGATGAGACCAGACTAGATTTGCTACAAAAGGGCACACATTTTGACAAGTGGAACGTGAAGAAATGAGAAGTTGTGATAGGGCGGAGGTTGGATAAGTGGGTAAAAAGTGTATAGATAGACCAGGACAGAAAGAGGAGTGAGAGTGTAACAGTTTTCGGCAGAAAGTTTGTCGAGGGATTGACTTCACTTGTCTCTTTGACGAGTTCGTAGCTTGGAGCGGAGAATGGCAACACTCGCTGATGATCCCGGCGAAACGTTCGAGAATGTACCAAGTCGATTGTCTGATGCTTGGAGTCATGAAAACTACTAGGGCAGACAAGTTCGGGCTAGGTGCGTTCTACATAGTCGCCCTGGCAACAAGACCAAGTTGCGACAACGAGGTCAACCCATTTCAATATTCACTGATCCTTGGGCCATAGCGATATTTTTAGTTTTATAAGGAAATTTTGCAGCTAAAACATGGCTTATATGTTTTATCTATAAACAAAAAACCTATTTTCAGCTATTCCACTTTACGCAAAAAATATCCGATTTTGCTGTTGTTTCAAAGTCGTTGTCATGCGTCTCAAATTATTTACTGAACCTTTTATCATAATTCTGGTTTACTATTTATATACAACACTACTGACTTCTCCTTAGTAGTATGGCATTATTTTATGTCAAAATATGGTTTGCTACTGACAATTTTGCCAATGACGCGCATTCTGTTGTCTTTGCAGTCTTCTTGCAATTACTACTTATTAGAGCAGCAGCGTCAATCGCAATAAATACAAATGCAA